ATATATATTAATATATATATATGTGTGTGTGTGTGTCTGTCAGGAATTCTCGAAAAGCACTGTGTGTCGACTCTTGGTTGTTCATCGTCCAGATCATGAGACTGATTGATAATCTTATGTTGTTCTGTCCTGGTCCTCTGCCGCATTGGAAAATGCTTACGTGCTAGCTTTCTGGATGGCAGCTCTTCGCTGAAGCCTTGGAGTCTCTACCCAAGATTGTTGGGCTTGCGGCTTGCGTTGCAAAGAAGATGTGAATTGGGCCTAACGCGTGGCTGGGATCTCTGCCACAACATTCCCCTATGGAAGCTGCTTCAGTTCATGCAGTCGCATGGCACCGAAGAGTGCTACGAAAAGTTCAACGCCGACCTCGTGGGCTGTCAAAACCCTCTCCCTCAACAGCGCATTCGTCATGCTAGCACACCCATGCTCGAGCGTAGACTAGTTGCTGCTTGTTTGGGGTATGACATGCAAAACTTGACATGTTCTGAGTTAAGAGTCAAGATGAGTGGAACTTGGGATGTGGAGCCTGAAATGTCTTAAGATTCGGGATGGTGTTGCTTGACTTCATAGTGCAAAGGCAAGCACGTAAGGCTTTCATGGTGATCATGCTTTGCAATGACAATGAACCATGGCTCTAATAATTTGTCTGCATGACCTACATTGGCAGCCGTAATTTTGCTAATTGAACTGCTTGATCATCACTTATGTATTCGCCTTCGTCACTGGCTTCCGAGACCACCTTGACGAAATGCACGAGGGCATCAAGGGCTTTGACCCAAAAGACTTCAGCTCGACAGTACAGCTGGCTTTTGCCTTAAGCCGCTATGCCCGACCGCTCGAGAATCAAGAGCAGTGGTTATTCTATCGGAGCCACATCCTCACCGTATCGGCGATATGCGAGTCGTGCTGGCTCGGCGTTGGCAACACTTTTCAGTCACTGCTGGCCGATAAACGCAATAAGCTTAATACAGCATTCTGCAGACTTCGCTCCGAACAGTACTCTGTGTGCCATCAACCGCTCGACTAGGAGCAAGATCACCCTGGTCGAGAAGGTATCATTTCTCTGCGACCTCCTTTCCATGGAGTTCAGCAATCTCGTGCCAATCAGACCAACAATCGTCCGCAGGCAATTGCACCAGCCGCACGCCTGACAAGCCCTTGGAAGGCGTCACAATCGTCAGATCTGACGTCCAGCTACCACTCCACGCAACCTGTGCTTGCCATGACTCTCCTAGACTGGTGGACCGCACTCCTGCCACACTCTGCCGCTCAACGTAAGATGCCCTACCACCAGCCATCGTCACGGCCGTTTGTGCCCCAATTTAGCAAGATTTGGTTTCCTCACCACACCCTCGTCCATCTCCACCTCCGTTTCCATTCCACGTGACCCCACCCTGCAGGCCGCCGGCAGTGGCCACCCGAACTCCCACTAGCTTTCGCACCTGCCGCCCCCACAAGAATCACCACCGTCGTCATTTCTCATTTGGATTCGAACAGACAGGCGAGGCATGTTGCTCTGTCTTGTTCCGTGCGGCAGGAGCAGGTTGCACCAAGTGTTCTTGAAGTCGGGATCCTTTCCGACCAGGTTCGTGAGTAGAGTAGGGGGGGGTTCGGGGCCACGGGGTGCTTCAAACATGTCTTGTGCACCGTCGACATCTGCTTGACGCGCGTGTGCTGCTTCCGTCATTACCTTGTTTTTCAAACGCAGATTCTGGTTTCGTTCGTGGTAACAGCTGTGCCTCCAAGTTGTCAGTTTTCTGCGCCTGGAGCTAGTTTCCTCTGAAGCAGCTGTGCGGTCTTGCTGGTGACGCAACTGAGAATGTGGTGCGAGCGGGTCTGTCAGCAGTTCTCCTAGGCCATTCTCACTCATCCGAGGAGAGATGTACCAGAAGGACGATGAAAAACAAGCCCGGGCTTCTGGGCAGAAAAGGAAAGCTGGCTTACCTTCGAGCGGCGATGTGTCGCAGGTGCGGAGCAGGGTTGAATCTGGCTTCGCTGAGGCTTGCTTTCAGGGTTCGGCATGCACAGGCATCACAGGCAGTCGCTGGCTGCGCAGGGTGTTCATCTTAGAAATGCCACGTGCGAAAAGTGGAGGCAGCTGCGTCAAGAGGCCACACACACACTCATACTGCCAGATGTTGCAGTACTGCTTAGCAGCAGTCGCAGTTACCGCCTAGCAGTCGCCCAGCACATGCTGGCACGGCTCCGTTGCATTTCTGAACACCAGCAACGACAGCGTACCTCCGTCAAGAAAAACTGGGCCTGCCGAAGCATTCAAAAGTTCGTGTTCTGTTTGCATGCTGAAAAGTCACGTGCGTGCCACAACAGTCAGGGACTATGGGTGCGCACCTCTGAGCCCTGCAACTTGGGGAAAGACCGCCGCTGCCCCCCCGTCCGCGGCCGCTGCAAGCCAATCCCTGTCCTGTGGAACGGAGCTCTTCTCTCTCTCTTGTGTCTCTTGTCTCCCAGACCCAGACCCGCTTGTCTGTCCTTTCCTGTTGATCCGTCCGTCCGTCCGTCCCTCCGCCCGTCTCTCTGTCTGTCTGTCTGTCTGTCCGTCTGTCTGTCTCTCTGTCCGTCGGTCTGTCTGTCTCTCCTGGCTTGTATCGGAAAACGAACTGCGCACGGCACCATTCAATCTAATCAATCATGAAGCAGGGGTGCGGCTTCCTTGGGGTGCTCCCTGCATGCCGTGCTCTCCCTGCGCGTGTGAATGCTGAAGCTGCCGTACATAAGCTACGATGCCAAGATGCTCGCTACAAAGATGTGCTGCACACGGTGCCTGCAGAGCACTGCCAAAAACGAACAGATAATTTGGAGGCCTTGTTGCAAATCTCTGCGAATTAACATGTTCGCCACAGTCCCCGTGCTCTTTGGAGTTCTCACAAACTGAAGTTATGCAGTTATGCATGAGGGATAGTCTTTTTGAGCTCTGGGGCGGTTTGCTTGTGCAGGTGCCCAATCATTTGCTCACATGCAGCATGCACCTGCCCGCCACGTTCCACAGTCTTCAGAACATGACGTTCATATGCAGCAATTAGCTGTTATCCCACTTGCGCTTCCCACAAGCCAAGTCCAGTTACAGCCGTGTTAGCTCAAAAGCTGCAGCCATGCCAAAATGGCCCATGACATATCCTTGGCTGAGCATGTGTCGAGGCCTTGAAGAGACCAGCCGCTTCGCCGAAATTGTGGAAGGGCGCCAAAACTAAGGGCAGAGGAGGCCAAAGCCTACCGAGAGTTAGTGAGCAGCTCCGCATCATGCGTCAGAGGAGCACGAGGGCGTGGTAGAGGACGTGGTCGCGGAGGAGACCACCGGATTACTTCTGATCTTCTGCCGCCTAAGCGTGTGAAGGACCAGCGCAGGAAGAGGAGGACGAGGAGGAGCAAGAAGCTGCCGTCATGCTCCGAGTCGTAAAGACTTGCAGTGTACTTCTGAACTGGTGGTTCTTGATTGCATCGACTTCGCAGTTCCTTGATACTGAGGAAGCTCCGGTGAATGAAGCTACGGTCGCTTGCCTGCAGAGGAAGCATCGATTTCTTGGGACAGCTGCAGAAAGCCTCAGGAGCAACTCTTCGGCGATGTGGGTAGATGGACTGCAGGCTTGTTGAAAGCTCCGGGTGGCCTCAGTGGAGGCAGAAAGCGCCGACGCCTCCAGGCTAAAGCGGCCAACATTGACGGTGTTTGAAAACCGATTTGTGCGAGCTCAGCTTCCAGCTCAGGCATTTGATGATGGACGCGCGAGCGCCGATTCAGCACATGATCACAAGCTCCACAAAGTGGGGGCTTCTAACACTACGCAAGGGCATACCAAAACATTGTGGAGGCAGAACAGCAAGGCAAACCTGATGGCTTTGAAGGCATCCGCTGTAGTGGTGCGCCCTTGCGTGTGCAGAGGTTTCAATATGCATTACAAGCAGGCAGTGGTGTCCAGAGGGGACCTGGTAGCCACCGCACATAGCTGCAGTGCACTACGCTGCACAGTAACGCGCAGGGGTTGCGTCCACGGACCAAAGATTCTTCTTTGCTCCCTTGCCTTTTTTTGTCTTCGGCTTCGGCCAGAGCTCTGCTTCCGCCGGCTTCCGCTTCTCTGAAATTCCCGGTGCTCGCAAGGCAGCCATGGTGCTGCTGGACCGCGGGTGCGCGGCCGATGTTCAGGTGTCCAGTTCGAGCCTTATCATGCCATGTCCTGTGGCAAGAGTGGCATCCAATCCGCAGGACACAGCTGGGCGGACGGCCTTGCATCTCGCAGTTTGCAGCAAGGAGCCCGAAACTTTTAATATCCTAAATTGGGAAAAAGAAAGTGAAGCTGTCGCTCTCAAGGAGCCTCAACTCTGCAAGTTGCTGTTGGCAAAAAGCCCAGAGCTGGCAGCAAGGCGCGAAGGGCACGAGTTATACGATCGCAGCCGAGTGAGTTCCTTTGTTGCCAGATCTTGCGAGGAAAGACTTGCAAGGGAGATCTCCTTTGGCATATGCAGCCAACAACTTAAAGGGTCTGCTTCCTTGGCAAGTCGAATGCGCTTCGCCGAGCTTGTGGAGCTCCGACACATGCAGCACTCCTGATTCGACGTGGTCCGACCATCACCGACCTTTCAAAGCAACCTGCACGTATGCGCGCACATACACTTGCCCGCGTCCGCGGGAAAGGCTCTAGCCGATGTCCACCTTGCCCCAACCCTCTTGACCCAAGCTTGGGACATATGCAGCCCACAGACGCAGTCTCCCCGTTGTAAGCTGAAACCTGAGAGCTATTGAGGATTGTCGATTTGTCGGTTGAACCACTTTGGACCAACGAGACACAAAGAATCGCTCGCACATTGCCGTTGTTGCTGCAGGCAAGCATCACTGAACACATCTAGGTGCAGATGTTCAGCCAGTTGTTTGGACAGCTGCGATCGATCACTCGCCTGCTTTGTCTCTGGTCCTCTCGCAAGCACTTGCCGGCTGTTTGCATCGGCTCTTGCCACAACGGGCCGCGACCCCTAAGTTTGTCGGAAGTCGGAAGCATCCGGCACCGAAGTTGTCCCGACAGCCACGTCGTTGCTCGGGCTGGGGAGTCGCTCGGATTAAGGTTTTGCATCCCGCGCAGCCCGTCGCAGACCGCGACTGAGTTGTTTGTCTCCAGGGACCTGCGAAGTGCATGAGAAGTTCTTGGTGCTCAGGAGCAGTGCACCCGGCTGCTGCTGGCGGGGCTTGCAGCCCGTGCGCCCAGCTTCATATTCCCTTGGAAGCTCCAAACATTTCCGAACATACGAACGAATCTCATGAGGATGTGAATGCCGAGGACATTTTCGGCTTCCGTCTCAGATTCCATCTGACTCTTGAGCTGCTTCCTTTTCTGCCGGAACTCGAGGCTTCGATGCCTTGCACTATGCCCGAAAGGCTGGCGCAGAAGGCGCTGCCAACTGTTCTGCCATGCCGTGCCCGAGCCGACAGCTGCAAGGTGCAGCAGCCTTGCTCAAAGCCGTCCAAACGGCTGCAGAGACCGAGACTGTGCCACAGAGCCTTGGTGACAGTCGGCTTTTCGCAGAACGGCTGGGCCGTCTCGTCCGTCTCGCCTGGCTTCTGCTTTTGAACCCCAGATTTCCCTTGTCGAAATGAAGGAATGATGACTCGTACTCGTCGGGTGGTAGCCTGGCGTCTGCTCAGGAGGCTTCAGCAAGGTCACACGCAGGCCATCTTGTTCCGACGGGGGCCGGCATTTGCGACAGGGCTAACTTTCAGAGACTCCTTGCTCAGGATGACATTCCCTATTGGAAGATGCTCTTGGATCAGCGGGATGAAGGCGGAATTTGAAGCAAGTGACGAATGCGGTAGACGAAGTTGAAAGCACTTGCCAGGTGCGTTGCCCAAGTTCTCTGCAACTCAGGTGCCAGCAATCGAAAGTCGCTTATGAGTCGCCAGATGACGCAATCACAGCTGTGTCCAACATGACGCCATTCTTGGCTTACGTTATCGTACCCGTTCAGGAGTATCATCCAGAAAGGAGTGCACGTGAGGCTCCACACCTTCTGAGTAGTTCGTGCAGGCCAAGAGAACCGGTGATTAGATCTAGAATGTGCAGGAAGTGGCACATTCCCAGCATGCCCATGCTCATGCAGAGCGACTTCGGCAAGAGCTCTTCGGCTGTGATCTGGTCAAGACGCCGCGTCGTTGAAACTTGCGGTGCCGCAGGCTGACCGAGCAGAATGAGCTCCTTGAAGCTGCAAAGCTTGAAGTGAAGGCTTGCCTTGGGTTGGACTCAGAGTTCTCTTTTGGGGGTCTTCGCTTGTGGCAGGAAGGGCAGCTTCGAGAAAAGGAGCTGCGGACAGAACTCGTGGCGCCTCTCCCGGTTTACGGTGATCATTGCGTGGTGGGGTTGGCTGGATTCTAACATAGATTCCCGCATAGATGGTCTCGATAGATGTTGAGGGAAACTTGCCCGTAAGACTTGCCCAACAGTTCATCAGCTCGGAACCTTCGAACTCGTCGGCATGAGGAACAGGCGCACGGACCTGTTGCAGTGCCCTCTTGGACCAAGACTCAAGACCAAATTTGCCATAAAGCCACAGTGAAAATCTCCATGGATCTCGATGGAATACCTGTAAGTAGGGACAAAGTCCAAAGCTTTGATGCTTGTGGACTTGTAGAGTCTTGCATCGATCAAAGTGTGATCCGCGATTACGGGCGCCCAAGATCGCCCAAGAGTCTATTGCGTCAACGCCTTGATCCGAACGGCATTTCTCGGCTCGCTTCACAAGGTACAGCAGAATGCCACGACTGGAGCCGACCAGGAAGCCTACGGCGAAGGCTGGGCTTGGCCTCTGGGAAATGCCCGACAGAAGATCTCGCCTTTGCCTTCAGCGAGGTTTTCCCAACAGCCTTGGCCATCGTGTACTGCGCGCCTGCGGCTTGTCGTCGGCAGAGCAGTAAGGTCGTGCTTGCCAGGGAGTGCACCTTTGGGGTGCAGGGAAATCCTCCACACAGCTCAGCTTGCTCGGCTGTGGCTGTGGGCTTCATGGAGCCAAGTCAAGCTTTCCAACGCACCAGCCCCCCACGCCGGCATGCCCGCTTTGCAGTGCCAGCTTCTTGCCCAGGCCGGAAGGCAGCTGGCCCAGAAGTCCGAGGAGTTTCGGACCGCGGAGGCGCTGTCACAATGCAGAATTCTCCCTGCTTTCTGCCGCGGCTTCCGCAGGCGGCAGCCCGGAGCCTCGCAGGCGGAGCTGGCCCGCCCAGTTTCTAGACTCCTTCTTTCGGGCTAAGAAGCACGCGGCACAGGTAGAAACGCCGAATTGGAAGCGGAGTTGCAGGCGAATCTCACCGTCAATTCAGCAACTGCCTGCTTGATCCATGGCTGAACAGCAAGGCGAGCAAAGACCTGCTTGCAGAAATCCAGGCAAGCCGTTTTTCTGAGAAAAGTAGGTGTTCGGCTCAATGACAGCCGTCGTCGTCATCTCTTTGCCCATCGGCATCCCACTTGCTGCTTCGGATGGAACTACATGGATACTGTGAGCCAAAACAGCCAGGTGGAGGAGCTTGAGCTGCACCGCAAGCTCGACAGGGAACTACAAAGTGCTGGCCTGGCCTCATGCTGTCACAGTCCCGTTGATCGAAACTCCAAGATCGTGGTGAAGAAGAGTCCTGGAGATTCCTTGCAGAGGAAGCCCAAAACTCAGCGATTCTTCAATCAGCTCTTGGCTCTTCCTTGGCTTCTGGCCCAAGGACCGCCGCAGCGCTGCGGCGGTGCGAGAGATGCCGCAGTCTCGGAACGGCCTCGGAACGGCCTCGTCGAATGATTTCGGATGCCGTCGCCGAGGCTTGAGCAGCGCCTGGAAGACGCGGAGAAGTCGGCCGCGTCTCTCCGACTCCGCGCGCGGCTTGGGCTTTTGTGCTGTCTCAGGGCTGCTCTTGCCAACCTTGGCAGCGTTGCCTCACCTTCGTGCGAGGTGAGATCGACAGCCTCTCAAAGCTAGAGGGCGATCTTGCGCAGCACCACGAGGCGTCCACTCGTTGAATTCGACCTGTATGTTCTTTCGCAATCGCGGGCTGGAGTGTGGACAGGCCGAGCTGGCCCAGATGCGACAGGAGTTCGAAACGGCCAAAGAAGAGGCGAGGCCAGGGGGTCACGAATCGCCGATGTCTTCAGGAATTAGATCGACTGCATGCCAGGCGGGAACATCGTGGAACTCCATAGCAACAGCCCTTGCCACAGAGCTTTGTAGCTATGCAGCTATACTAGAGGCCAGCGAGCCTTGATTCCAGATCTGCTTCACCAGCTTTGCCTTACTCCATGGTTTTTTCCGCCATTTGTTAGTACTGTGCCGCGAGCGACCGCTACACACACAGCACAGCACCGGCCTGGCACCGGCCCAGCAAGGGTGGACACAGCATGAACCCGCAACAATCAACATCGCGTGGCGCTTCTGCGGGTTCCCGGAGCCCTCAGCCAGTGCAAGCAATTGTGAACTAGATTAGCCAGTGCTTTGTTTGAAGCTCGGAACAACACCGGTTGTCTTTCCCTGAAGCATACGATCCCTTGCCAGCACGCTCGATTTCGGCACTCTGCGAAAATGTGATTAGGTTCGGGCAGAGGCGAAGCGAAATGTGGAGGCAGCAGTTCAGACTGCCCGTCCCGCACCTCTCCATCCTCTCCCATGCGCCGCAAGGCTGAAGCCGAGATCTGCCGGCACGAGCTGCAGTCGGCACGACTGGCTCAGGAAAAGCAGAGGCCTGGGCAAAAACGTGAACCACCGTGAACGACGCCGACAGACGTGCACAGCTCGAGTCGAGGCAGCTTGAACAGCAGCTGCATCAAGGTGTCTCGGTACCAGAGTTGCGACGTACCCGGGTCCGAAAAGCTTCCGGAGCCGAGGCCGGCAGCTCTCGAGCTTGCTCGAGCAGGCCAGGACACGCGACTTCCCTCTTCACCTGCACCACGCGAAGTGTTTGGCAGGAGGCATCCCGGCTGAAGGAAGAGGTCTGTGTGCGCGATGAACAGTGGCAAGCGCTGTTCAGGCAGGGACTTAAAGGCAGCCGCTCATCTGGAGAATTGACTTATCTGGCCCGAGGCACTACCCAACCGTGGGCCATGCATTCTTCAGCAGCGCTGCGACTGCTGATGGTGGCGGAAAGAAAACAATCCATTGAGCAGTTCTGAACATGAAGCATCCTAAGTTGCTTCACATGGCCTCCTCTTGTGTTCCGCATTCAACATGTCTGCAGCTGTACACCAGAATCTCCAGCGCTACACTCGAGTGAGAGAGTGCTGACATCAGAAGTTCAGCTTGTCCCAAACACTCCCTGCCCGATCACTCAGACTTGCTCCGGAGCTGGGGCCATGGACGACTGCAGCATCTGCCAGAAATCCAGGGCCAGGCATCGTACCTGATGCGTGATGTTCCAGCCTTGGGAACCACGGTGTCGCACGCTACGGAAGCGTGAAGTTCAATTTCGGTGCACATTGACATGCCTGGCTGTGCGCCCGTGCAGTCTTTAGTTGTCCGAACTTAGCTTCAGGTCCACCACCAGCTTGAGCTTGGGAAGAGAAGCATTGCTCTCTTCTCACAGAGAGGACTCATTCCGTGATCCGTGCCGAGTGTGACGTCTGATGAACCTTCGTCTACCAGGAGATGAAGGAGATTTTCGACCTCCTCGATGCTGATGGCAGCGGTAGCATCGATCCGAAGGCGTTGCTGCCATCCCACCAGTGCAGAATGCAAGCTGCAGGTTGCTGTTTCGGCTCAGAAAAGGCCATTTGGCTCCTCCTCGAAGGCTATAGGCATTTTGCTGCGCTTCAGTTGGCCATGCTGCCAGGAGGATGAAGCCCCGGGCGCGGAGTGCTTTGCAGGACGAACGCGTCGGCGCCCTCTTCTCGGCGATTGCCTCGGCACCGCAGAAGCGAGAGCAGCCGCTTCCCGACATGGACTGGGCGGGCTTCTACGATAGAAAAAGCGGCAGTAGTGGGCGCAGCCGCAGAAGCTCCACCTTTGTGGGCCCCATGGAGGCACGGCAGCTCCCTGGTCGAGGCATCGGCTTGGTCACGAGCCGGGAAGTCCGGGCGGGTGAGCTGCTGCTATTGGAGGACGCCTGGGCCACGTCAGCAACGAAAGGGGCCGCATCTATCGTGGCAATCGCAGAGCTCGCAGAGGCTTGCGTGAAGAAGTTGGGAAGTGCAGGGGAGGCCGAGCGCGCCCTGTTTTGGTGTCTCCACGGTACAAATCAGGTCGGGGCGGTAGGCGAAGAGGGTTGGCAGAGTCCAAATCTCCGGCTCAAGATCTTCGAGCAGTATTTGCATCGGCTAGGCCAGTCAGGCAACGAAGCAGGACGCGAGGATGGTCCATCGTTGCCTGCTTGGCCACGCCAGCTGCAAAGCGCGGTTTCTGCCATCGTGGCCTCGAACAGTCGAAGATCGGAAGCATGGAATTCTTTGACATTGCTACTGGATGAAACGCAAGCACTCGGTGGACTCTGGTTCGTGGCATCGTTATTTAATCATTCTTGTTGTGCAAACGTCACTCTCAGCTATTCGTTGTGGGAGGACCGAGCTGCTGGGAGTCGGAGCCGAGTGTATCATGTGACGACATGCTCTGAGACCATGGCATGTCAGGACGGTATCACATTGGTAGCTCGTGCCGCCGTCGACTTGGCACAAGGTGAGGCAGGCCCGAGTCAATCCCGAGTCACATGCGGCAGAGAAGTTGTCGAATTCACCCATCCGTGGTAGGAGCTGGTGGACACCTATGCACTGTCCTTGGACCCCACCAAAATTCTTCTACGGAATCGAAGACTAAGGTATTCCGAGGGTTTAGGGACTCGCCAGCGGTGACGTGTTGCAGCTCTCAGGTCTACCCTCTCGAGACAGTGGACGAGAGGAGAAATAGGAGGGACACGGCTCATGCATCTGTTCGGCGTGGCAGACTTGCAGCCGCCCTGTTGTGTCAGACTGCACCGGACTTACGGCTTTTTGTGTATGTGCAAGCGGTGCTCAGTGGAGGCAGATCGGTGAAGCTTCGAGAAACTCCTTACTCGTACCATGATCACGACGACCATCGATTGCGCGTGCACCGTGCACCACGCTTGTTCTGGGAGGCTCCGCTGGCCGCGGAAGCTGGCAAGGTCGCCGACTTGCTCGAGTTTGGGCCTTGGATGCCTTGCCCCGTGGACGTCTTTGTGGCAATTCTTCCGTATGCCGATCGCAGGGCAGAGTTGCAAACATTCTCCTCGTTGAGAGGCTGGTCTGCATGGCCAGTTTGACTTCTTGGTATTTATTTTGCGCACTTGTGCTGTTGGTTTCACCATGGATCGTCTGATTACGGAACACCATGTTCGTTTCGAAGCTGCCGGCAGAGAGAACTCCAGATCTGTTTCAACTACTGCAGCCGCTGTAGCCAATTCCCAGGGCGGAGAGCTAAACCCAGCGAAGTGGGGGAGGTTGTCAGGAAGATTCGACAAGTGCTTGCCTGAGCTGCCTCCGCTAGACAGATACTCTCAAGGTGCCTAAGCGAGTCCGCCCCAGTAGGTCTTGGATCGAGTGTTCGCAACCGCGAAGCAGCTTCCGCCAAGCTCGCAGCCGCTTTGGAGGTTCTGGCGCCGAGCTGCGATATTTTCCGACTTGCCTGTCTACCCGGCCTGCTTCTCCTGTGCAGGGCGCAATTTGTGTGGGGCCTTCATGGTCTTGCCATGGCCGGGACCTGAGAAACGTCCTCCAAGTCAAAGTCGGATGGACCGCGGATTCTTAGGCTGCGCAGGACGCCGGCTTCTTTCAAGAAGCGGTCCGAACCCATTGAATTGCAGATTTCTACATTGTCCTGTTGCTGGTGTGCGAGGTCGATGCATTTCAGACGTGTATTGAGCTGGCAGCTCTCATCGCCCCAAGTTCGGAGCGGGGGGCTTGTTGCAGCACGCTTCAAGAAAGAGCCTGGGCGACAAGTGTTACACCCAGGTACGAGCTGAAGTACCACATGATGCTGGTTCAGTGTATGGCAAGGCCGCTGTGGTACAGAAGCTGGGATGGGGGAGCCCCGTCTGGCCATTGCAGGCGGACGCTATCATCTCCCCCATCTGCCCTGCGCAATGACACGCCAACTTCGATGAAGGAGGCCGACGAAAGCAGAAGTTCCGGTAAGTCGGATTTATAGTGATGCAGGCTCTACGACGGGCGGAAGAAGCTCTCATCTCTGCTGTTTTTTGTTGAGAGGGCTTTGACAGCTGCATGCGCGAGTGATAGTGCTGCTGAAGGCTCATAATCGCCACTACGGAGGAGGAGGTCGCCATTTCCTGAGTCGCATGCAGAGGAGGCCGTGTTGCTTGTTCTTGACTCTTAACTGAGCTTCTGGGGAGAAGTGATTGTTGTGAATTGTCATGAAGGCTAGAAGACTTCTATGCTGCGCTCCGTCACTGTGGAAAGAGACTCGTCATCGCCAGTGCGGGCTTTTCCTGCCTTTTCGTGTTCCGCCGACCAGCGCTGGAAGAGTGTACTAGGGTATTTGAAAGCCTTTCAAGCTATGCTGTCTGGCGAGGCGATAAACGGTCGACTTCGCAAGCATCACCGAGAACCATCAAGAGCCACATACTGCCCGTCATGTCAGTGATTCCGCATGTTGCCGAAATGTTGGTCATGGATTCGAGTTTCTGGATGGCCGTGGACTCAACGCAGCCAAGACGACCTGTCGAACCTGCACCAATTCCACGGCAGCGCAGCGATTACCGGATAGACTTCCCTGCTCCTCCTGTGCCTTGTGCCGGACATTCTTGGCTACGGCTTCAGATCGTGAAGGCTGCAGTAGCAACTAGCTTACAGCAGATTGCGGGGAGCAGCTAGGCAGCTAGGCAGTCATGCCCGGGCCACCGAGACGGCGCCGGGTGTTCTTCCGCAGTGCTCCGGACAAAGATGTGGAGAAAAGGCGTTGCGCGCGTTCGGATAACCCACATCTATCATACTGCATCTAGCTTCAGAATCCATCCAAGGCAATAAGCAGACGGATGGCCGAGCATGAGTTGATCAGCCGACCAACTAAGCTGCCTCACTGTCAGGAAATCCGCATGCAAATGCAAGCCCTGGGCTTTGAGGCGGGGACTGGAGCGCAAGCGAGAGGGAAATAGTGAACGAGAAAGATCTTTGATGTGGCCAGGAGCATCCCTTGCTTTTTCGCCATACCTCCATAGATCGAGAGTTGTCGCAGACACTCAACCGGGACATGCGAATGTCAGAATATTCCTTTGACTGACGACCCAGCTGAGCAACAAGAAAGGCTTGGCAGGGACAGCGAGTCACAGGGGATGCGACAGAAGACAACACGAGATGACAAGAAGCTACCACAAATGGCCTTGTGAGGCATCACCTGTCCTACACGCGCCCACGTGCATGCTGGTGACAGTCTTGTGACCGAAACTGACCGAATGTTCCGTCTTGTCGTGTACAGACGCTCATCTTTTAATCATGACAGGCCGTGCCGCTCTACAACCACACCACGGGCGTCTAATTGGGAATAGCACGTATACCTTGTTGAGGGAAAGTATCGTAGCGTGAGGCCTGCCTCCGAACACCAATGAGGAGCTTTTGAATATAAAGCCGATGTACCATGACCAATACATGCCAATACTACAGTGGAAATGTACAAGTGATAAGAGCAGGTGGCTGGCCAATTGGATGGCCATGCATGGCCATGCTACTTCAAGCCTTCGGCTGAGCGCCGGCCCGTTCGCCCGCGACAATTCTGGCCGCCCTGGCCGCAGTGGCGGAGCGTGTCAACCCCACTGTGCCGACAGTATGAAGACAAATGAGGATCATTCGCGTCCAGTGGGCAGCAGCTTTTGAGTCGGCATCATGAGGAATTCGTCCTTGGTGCCGCCTCTACCCCCATGTTCGCCTTGACCCCAAGGCCGATCGTGAAGTTTTCGTGCTGAGGCAGCGAGAGTGGTGCATGGTCTGCAGAAGCAAAGCCACTGTCGCCGTTACCCCATCCATTCATGCTCTGCTTTTCTGCTATTTCTGCTCTTGCCCCGTACACTGTCGTACACATTGTGCGCAGCGCGGGATACCGCTGGCCCGACGAGATGCTTTGACATGCAGGTGATTTTCGAAAACCGGCCGTAACATCAGGATTAGAAAGGAATGTGCAATGTTGAGAGACCGTAGAACCGGAGGAACGCGAAAGACGGACAGCTGGAAAGGCCTAGCCACTACGGTTTCTTCGATGCGAGCTGAAGCGAGCGTCTGAAGCTTCCGCCCAGGAAGCCAAGGCACGACATGCATGCACATGCCTATGCGCAGGGTGCGCCGTGTTTGCATGTGCACCCTTGCACGCATCCGAACAAAGAGTCATGCGCGCAGGCTAGCGGCTACTGAAAATCCGAGCGAGCGAGCAAATGACAGAGGGCGTGTGTGCATGCGGACAAGCTGACAGTCAAGACACACTATCATAAAGCATAGTATCATGCCAGTGGAGAAACATGCAGTTGGGAAAGTTGCATATTGATCGCTGTGATCCAGATGCAGCCTGCAGCGACGGGTCACGGACACTATAGCGAGGCAGACAACACGACCATTTACCAGCTCATCAGTGATCTGGACTTCCGGTGCTTCTGCATGATATCGATTCCCCTGCCCATTCTGGATACTTTGCTTGCGCAAGCTTGTGGGAAGGACGGTGATGGCTCTCAGAACCTGGAGTTTGAGGCCCTCGGTTTTTGAAACGTAGTGCAGGCAAAGAAGGCTCGAGGCTTCCTCGAGTTGAGACTGCCGTGCCTCGCAGGAGTTCCTGAAAATCTTGAAGGACGCTCGCAGAATCTCGCGGATGTTGACCTAGTGTTCGTAGAAGTAGCCTAGCAGAACTGCTGCTGATGTCTAGCACAGGTCGATCGAGGCTGTCGTTGTCTACAAGAGTCTACAAGTACGAAGCATAATCTGTGATAATTTGCAAGGACATGCAGGTCCACGCGGTCGGTTATGCGACAAGGCTGCCCGACGAAGCATTGTGCAATGGCCTTTGCGGTGCTGCAGAAGAGGTAGTTAAGCCGCATTAAGCCGCGTGGCTTGAGGTTGACGTTTACTCATGTTCAGCCTTGCAGAGCGAGCCACGGCAATGCGTTGCCGACAGACAGAGACACACCCGCGCACAGGGCATAAACTCACCCTCTCAGTGTCTCTCTCTCTCTCTCTCTCTCTCTCTCTCACATACCCGCTCAGAGCAGCAGCACTCGTCCGCACTCACTACAAGCAAAAGGCATGACATCCTTGAAACATCATCCGTAGAGTCGTGTGAGCGTGGTGGAATGGAACCTTTAGATGGCCAGAGCCCTGGCTGCTGAATGGGTGAAAGACGGCAAGAGATAGTCTTTTGGCCCTCCAGGCGAAGATGAGGCTTGGAGCTTGGAGAATGAGTCCTGGGCAGAGTTGGGTTTGTGAGTCAAATGAGGCTCGCACACCGGTCACAGTTTTGAGTGGTGCCTTGGGTGCCGGGAAGACAACTTTGCTGAGGCCCTTGGGTACCCATCAAAGCAACCCGATACTTGACGGATGCGCGAGGTATATCCTGGAAAAGGATCATGGATACAGGATTGCAGTGATCCAGAATGAGCATCTCTGCCAAGGACATGTTCGAGTCGTCCGCCGTGGTAAGGGTTGCATGAGCGGCCGCTGTACTTGTGCCAAGGTTTTCTGACGAAATGGGGATGGAGGTGATGCAGAGAATCCAGGCGCTAGGTTTTGTGGAAACCGGTGGGGCAGCCCGGGCAGGCACCTCTTTTCACCGATTCCAAGGGCAACACCATCAAGGCACAGCGGCATTCCTTTCGCCGACTTCGCCGACTTAGACGAGCCGCAGAACTGTCCAGGATGTCTACGAGCTCCCAAATGGCTGCCTTTGCTGCTCAGCGAAGGCGACGCGAGATCCCCCCGCCCGAACGCAAAGTAGATCGGTGGCCCCGTGACTTGTTCAGGATAGCTTGGTCGGCACGCTGGACGTGTTGCTGGAACAGAAGAGCAGCTTTGACTACATCCTGGTCGAGGTGCTCGCAGATAAGGCCAGACCTGCATGGCTTCGTTCGGAGCTCAGGCGACGGGCGTTGCAGACCCGGAGTCCATTTGCGAGGCACCGACGAGATATTTTCATTGGCCTTGGTGTGGAATCGAGCTTCCTTGAGGTGTTCTGGGTGGACGAAGGCCTTGGAAGCCGTGAGCCCGGGAGCTGGGAGAGCTGGGAGAGCTGGAGAGGCGAGGGCAGGAATGCGAAGCGACGCAGACGCGAGGTCGTGTGTATCTTGACGGGGTTGTCACGCTCGTCGATGCCTACTATGTGCTTTCCTACCTTGGGAAGGCCGAGCCCGGGCTCTCGTGTAGGACTGTTGATTGAGATTCTGAGGCCGACGAGGGTCCAAACGGCCTTGGCTTGGAAACGGAGGCCCTGAAACAGGCGGGCCGCCTTTGGCCGTCGCAGATCACAAGCATCAAAACGAGAAATGCGTCGAATCTTTGTCCGCGATCCTTCGCAGGTTGCCTGTGCAGATGTGCTCGTGCTGAACAAGATTGACCTTGTTGCAGAGGAGCTTCGAATGAAGATTCAGTTTTACTGAACAGTTTCTCCTCTACCCCTTTCTGTGCGGCTGCCAGCACACCTCGCGGCGAGCTTGTATGAGGCCAAGCTTCGTCTCGGCCCAGAGACGCAAGTGATGCTCAACCAGTTGTCACGCTAACCGCTAACACTCAACCGGCAACAGGAAACACACGGCCTCTGTTCCGCTCTAAGCCCGAGCTCGAGCCCTAGGAGCAGCTCCAGCGCTCACGGGCCACGTTGCGGGAGATCAACCCGGCTGCGAGGCGCGCCCGTGCCCGCTTGAGCCGATTGCGACGTGAGCTCTTCAAAGACCGAGGATCCTGGAAAGCAGGTTTGCTGCCGTGCCATGCACTTAGCTCCCATGCCTGTGCTTTCAGGTTTCGGAATTGTACCAACCAATACCTTCTTCTTGTTTGAGGGTTTAGGGCTTGCCACCCGCGATCTCTTCTTTCAGGGACTGGGTTTGCCACCCATTGTCCTGATTGACATTTTGGGTTGTTCGCCACCCACGGTTTCGAGTCAAAATTTAGGGTTTGGGGTTTGCCAACGAATATCTCCGTTTGTAGATTGAGGGTGTGTCGACCAGTGTCTTGTTCTCTCAGGGTTTATAGTAGAAGCCATGAAGTTGGAACACCAAAATCCTCATCGCCTGAACGTAAAGCGTCAGGGATCACAGCACTAATCATCCCAAGCCCATGTTCCAACCTTCTGGGGTTCCCTGCAGGCTTTGCCACCCACGATTTTTGTTTCAAGGTTTGGGTTTGCTGCCCATTATCTTCTTAAACGTCTAGGGCTTGGGGTTTGCTACCCGCGATCTCATTTTGAAATTCGGGGTTTGGGGTTTGCCAACCAATATCTCCTTTGTAGGTTGAGGGTGAGCCAACCAAAACCTTTTTTTCGTGAGGATTTAGGGTTTGCTCGCCACGATCTTCCTCTGAGTATCTTGTTCGAAATTTAGGAATTGGGGTTTGC